TCATCAGTAATATATTGCCATAACTTCTGATCCTTCAAAAAACTACGCATACCTTGAGCTCAATGTAATTTGAGTCATTGAGAGTATTTGAAATTGGCTGTGTAATATCAGATTTCTTCATAAGAAAATAAAATGAGGCTATGCTGTAAAGGAAACAAAAAATCTAACCGACCAGAACACTAGGTCTGAGTAGAGAACAGGAAAAGATGGGAGCAATTTCGGATGGCAGAGAACTGGGCAGCGGTAATTCCGGACAGCTTGGTTGCAAAAAATTTAGGCGGAAAACAGAGGAACCCGTAGGAGGAACAGTAGCAATTACAGCAGCCAAACGCGGAACCGGTGCACGGTTGGAGCACGACCGGAAGAAGTGCACTGGAGACGGTGCTGGCCGGCAAGAAACGATGCTGGCGGCACAAAAATAAAAGCACAAAATCTCGCAAAAGAAAAACAAAAATGAAATAAAAGAGCTCAGTGGCTCAGATACAATGAGAGAAAACATAAAGAAATAGCAAGAGAGTGATTTTTTTTATAGATTTTTTTAATTTGTGTTTTTAAAGTACAAGTTTAATTTTTTTTAATAATAAATTTGTATAAAAAATATAAGTTAATGTCATGAAAACAAATTAATTGGACAATTAATAAATTAAATGTTACTTTTTATTTTTTTTAAATCATTAACATGTGCTCTTAATGTATAGATTCAAAAAACTCTTTTTTATTCTTTTTTGTATATAAAGTGTTTATCTATAGGTTTATAAAAAAAATTATGTAATCTAAAATTAATTAATTTAATACAAATTTAATTAAATAATATAAATTCAATCAATATAATTATAATATAAATATTTCGTAACATTATCAACGTGTTAAATCTAGGCCACCTTGATACCCATGACACTCATGAGTGTCACAAATACATGTAAGAAAATACTCTTTCTCAGTCTTAAAACTTAATCAACACCCTTGATTCAGGGTTAAACCTTCCAGTCACAAACTTGCGCAAAAGCAACCAATAAGTTGTCCAATTTTCATGATTTTACTGTGTCCAACTTTTTTCTTTCCTAATGGTGGAGTCTTATTAATGTACAATGCATGTTCTTTTCAATGTTCTTTTTTCCAAAAAAAAAAAAAAAAAAAAACTGAGACAAAAGGACACTATTAAAAAGGAAAAACTTTGTGCCCTAAACAAATATTCTCTTATCAATGATTTGAATGGAAAGACTCAATTTTTTTTAAATAATATCTTAAATTTA